GTCTGTCACAGTTTTACATCAAACTTCATGCATAACCTGAGATTTGGACGTAAAAACAAATGGCCTATTTTACAGGGATGAGGATTTTTCACGGATCCGTGAAATTCTGCATATTTCTTAAGCCCCATCTTAAGGGATTAATTTTCTTGAAATGTCTAAATCCGAAGAGTTTTTTTTTTTGGGGGGGGGGGGGGGGTAAGAATACAAATCTTGTTCATTCACTGGAAGTAAACACGCTGTTGGGTAATTGTTGTCAGCTGCAAGAGCTGTATGAAAGATCTATAATTAGGAACAAATTTCGTTGGGCATTGCTTGATAAGGAAGCGACTTTGACCGTGCGAATTGGTAAGAAAGATGAAGTGGTAAGTGAAAAATTGAGTGACTTCATCAGCAAGTGCAAGGGTCACGCGAAAGGCGCAGTGTCTGTATCGTAACGATTTGATCAACTACGGTTCTCGGACCCCGGCTACTTTGCTTTCAGCTTAAAATTAAAATTCTCATCCTTGATTTTATAAGCACTAAATATTTTGATATCTTGTCATCCAGAAATTCCGCAGTGGACTATTACAATCGCGGATTTAGTCATTTTTACAAGGTTCGCCATTTTTGTGGCACTTATGTAAACAATGGCTGTCCAGTTTGCGCGAACATGTCCGTCTATACTTATGCTTTTGAATTATACGTTAAATAACGGTTCTGAATGGAACAGCAGACAGAGAATGCTTTATTCAAAAACGTCATCAAACTCTTCTCAACCTTAAATCAAACATGGATACAATGACTATTTTATCCAATGTGTCCAATTTTTTTTTTCAAAAATTAATCTGTGTCCTACTTCAAAATTCATGAAGTTGATACATACAAGCAGAAAATAAATCCCTCTCCAATAGATTTCTCCAAATTTACGTTACAATAGCATTGGTGCGAGTCTAAATTCAAACGAGTGAAGACTAAGCAGTTTACCATCCACACAATGTACAATGTAAAAGTGAACTGTATCTTGGATGCTGAGAATCTCTCTTTTTTGAGAGAGTGACACATTATTATTAAAAGATCTGTGAATCGAAAAAATTTTAGTACAGCGAACATTTCACGGCTTTGGAGTTATTGACCGGAAAGAGCTACCTATAGAAAGTATCACACGTGTGATTCAAAGTGGCGTCAATGACACTAAATAGCTTAGCTTATGCTACCCAGCATGGTTTCAATCCCAACTAATTGGATGCGTAATAACCTAATTTTAATATTCAACAAAGGGAATGTGAAATCCAACAAGGATAATTACAATACACACTGCACACCTGGTGGTGAAAACCCTCCCAATACAGTGAGATAATTATACGTGTATTCTTGGGGGCGGAGCTACGTCACAGACGTTCCACGTTGCTAAGACGTGCCCACTGTACAGCGTATTTCTATGGGCTCTGTGCGCGCTGCTATGAAACTCCAGTCGAAAAGGCGGTGAAAACGACACAAATACAACCTTGAAGTACCAGGGGTAATCTCAATTATTAAACCAAATTTATATATTGTACACATAGAAGTAATCTTGTTACACTGTTCGGGGAAGTCTCAACAACTGTCCCAACGTACCATTTTCTGAGAATATTCGGACTTTGTTTTCACCGTGATGGTTGTCAGGCTGTGAAAATACCCGGATGTCCGCCCCGAGAATACTTAAAGAGAAACTCAAATACTGTAAAAGCATTTATATTCATTGACATTTAATTTTGATGTTTTGAGCATATTCACCGTGTTTTAATTGCACAAATTTGTCAAGAAAACAATGAGTTGTATTGTTATTTAGGCCAGACTTTTTTTATTCCTTGTTTCGCAAGTTTTTATAAGGCAATTTTTTTGAGGAGGGCGAAAAAAAAATTAAATTAAATCTTTTTTTCCATTAGATTTGTGTGATTCTCAAAGATTTGTAAGTGAGATCATTGATCGGAGAGAAGAAATAAAATAAAATTTTATTCCATGTATAACCTTGTTTCTCATCTGCACAAGACTTCTGTACTTTGATCATGATACTCCCACGAAAATGCAACTTGAATTTGTTATGCGGTGGGCGGTAAAAAAAATGAAGATAAAAATAATATTTTTTTAGCTTTTTATTGCGCTTACAAGTTGGCGGGCACGAGAAATTATGCTGAAATAAAATTATATTTTTATTTCATTTTCGGCTCCTGTTCATTCGGCGGGTTCGCGAAACAAGGGATAATAAAAGTCTGGCCTTACACGTATATTTAATTTAGGGGATTTTACCTATCAGCGAAAATAGCGAAATTAAAACCCAGTAAATAACTAATGTGTTTACAGTACTAGCCCAAGATGTGACTCGTATCAACTAGTCCTAGTAATATCAGGTAATAACCCTCATAATATAATCCAACTCACCTTGTAACATTTCAGCTGGTAATACGAACCAAGGCTCCACCAGAAATGAGATGTAGAGAAACCTAACCGTATAACAGCCGAGACCAATATACAGACAGGTAATGTGTCCTAACACTTTAATTATTTTATAACTTATAAAATATGTAATAACTTCGGAAATATGATTGACAATGGAACATATCCCGAATAACGTTGGTGTGCCTCCAATATCTTGTAAATGCCAGTAGAGAAACGTAAAAAGAAGTCCCATACAGAAACCAGTAAACCACGCGATATACAGTACCGAGGCATATCTCACGGTCGCAAATAGTCGAAAAACATCCACCCAATCAGTGTCATCATTTCGGACCTCGTTTCGCTGCTCGCATGCAATTAATTCCTGCGACTCTGTCTCTTTACTCGTATTGTTATTCGGTTTAACAACCTCGGTTAATTTTTCATCCTTTCTAATATGACCACTTATTGTCGCCTCTTCAATGATATTTCCATCGTTCGCTGCCTCAGGAGAGGAGTCAGCTAAATGAGTGTAATTTGTAAGTTGTTTGTCGTCATCGTTGCAATGATATTTGAACTCCAGCTGCGTTGCCGTTATGAACGCACAACTCATCAATACAGCGTATATTCCAAAGCAGATGATGTAATTCTTCTCACTTTCGTCAAGTTGCCCGCACGGATGATCCGGTATGACCTCCATCAAATCTAAACCCAATCCGACAAAGAGCATTGCAAGGCCCCATCCGATCGATCCAAACATTCGCTGTCGGCCGTAATACTCAATCCGCTGTAAACCTAAATATCCCAACGTTGCTGAATCCACTAACGTTATCGCCGGAGCACTAAAAAACTCACCTACAATGACAAGCATCATTAAAACAAGAAACACTTGTCTGACGTCATCCTCGCTGTACACGATGGAACTCGTTGGTGGTTTGATTAATGAATTTGCGTCCAATACATCTTGTAATGCAATTGGTGTTACTGTTTTATTAAATAAAGTCGAATTTTCTGAATCCCGAGGAAATCTTCTTCCTGAATTCCATGTTTCAGAAGTTCGCGTCTGACGCACAGACAGTTCTAAATTAAGACTCACAATGTTATCATCGTCAGTTAAAGTATTAGTATCGTTTGAGTTTTCGACCGTAACGACACAAGACTGAGCCGCTGGTTGTACGAACGCTAAAGCTTCAGTAAAAACTATCCAAGCAACAACCGCTAAAAGCATCACAACTTTCGCTTTTCGGTATTTGTCTGCAAATCCACCCCACATTGGTGCCGCGCAGAACTCGACAAACGGTCGCAAGCCAATCAGAATACCACTCTGTGTCGCAGTCATCCCCAATTGTTTAAAATAAACGGCAAGAAGAGGAAACAACGATCCGAAAGCAGCGAAAAAAAAGAAGTAGAATGTTTTAGCAACTAGCAGATCATTATCTATACTGTTACACAGAGCGGCACAACAATTGCGTTTCTTCTCCAATGCCTTTTTCTCCATCAGGGAACTGGTATCCTCTTCACAACGCTTCATCGTAGCTTTAAAACTGTTTAAAAAAAAAGTTTAAAAAAAAATTGATTTTAAATATTGTGGAATCAAGAAAAATGTACTGCAAACCCCTTTTAGTTTCACGATAGACCAATTTTCACTTTTGGAACATTTCTATTTTTCGGGTTCATGTTCGGCCCTTTCAAAATGCCCCCTAATTTGATTGTATAATCATAAAGCTTTAACTTTTCCGAATACTGGTAATCATTTTTATTTTATACAGCGTGGATATCGACCACCGTGAATCTGTTGTGAATGCGTAGAGTAAACCACGGTAATCGTGCATAAACTACGCTTTAACAATGACCCGTTAACAAAAGTGAAATATGGTAAATACTTCATACCCTATTCAGTTTACCTATTAAAAATTGCTACCGTAAAATCTGTATTAGAAGCCGCATCCCTAACAGAAGTCGCACCCATTCTTTTTGAAAAGTTGAGAACCAAACATTTCTCATATGTGTAGATGCTCTAATAGAAGCTGCATTCCCTCCGTTGCATTGCACCATTTTAATAGAAGCCATTGTTCTCTAATACAGATTTTACAGTGGTTACCAATTTTTGAAAAAAAAATCATGCCAATTACCGGATTCTGCCATCCCAAAAAATTGCCCACTAACCTTATTAACCTTTCAAAATTTTGAGATATTTAGATATATTTCAGCCATAGAAAACAATGAGCATTGCATTAACCTTTTCACCACCGGTTCCCTATTTTCATCACAGATTCACAAAATAGTCCACAATATTAACAAAAATTTATAAGTCTGGACTTTTCTTCCATAAGATTGGAACAAAAATAGAAAAATGTTTTGAGTAAAAATTTACTCAAATTTTGTCTGTTGGCTCCAAAATTAAGAATTATTTCCAGAAGTATTGGATATAAATAAACGCAAAACATTTTGGGTGAAAAGTTTGATGGTGTTTAAAACAGACAAAACTACTATTTTCACTGCATTTCATTTGTAATTCATTCCTTCCATCCTTGTAATAATATATCAAATATGTAAAAATTAAGAAAATGACAATATTTTTACTTTTGTGTACCACTCAACATAGTTGATGAAACTTTGATGAGTTAATAAGGTTAGTGATTTATTACTGGTAAAGTTTTAAATGATAATAAATCGCTAACTGAGCACTGTCACAAAGCGATGCCGTACCTCATCAAAAAGTTGATAGTCTCCTATTCACCGTCTTTGATATTGTAATGTAGCAGCAGATTTGAATACTGTCTTTAAAAAATAAACTTGCACATTTCTCTAAATTGTTCATCAGCGCAGGATCTGCTAGTCATAGTGCAGTATTTTTGACATCAGAGATAGCAGCTGTGTTTTTCACAATGATTAGGTACTTGGATCACCATTAAAGTCACTGGTTGTGTTATAGCTGTATTACCTAAGAAATAAAAAAAAATATGAAATATGAAATCAGGGTTCAGAATTATCTGTTGCCCTGGGCAACCCTTTTTGCCATGGGACAACAATCTTGAAACTGGTTGCCTAAATTTTTTTTAGTTTCACAATCCATATATATGCAATATTTGTAGGCCAACGCAGAATTATTTTGTAAATATATTAAATATTGTAATTTTAACAAATTTCTCAAAACAATTCTACATTTACCAAAATATTCATAGAAATTAGAGAATTGAAGGTATTGTCAGGAAATGAACAAATCTGAAAGAAAGGCACATTCGCCGTTTTTATAAAGTGTTGAAAATGAAAAGTTTACGCCGATGGACAACAGACAGTCAGAACATCTCTGCTATGTCGACTAAGTCAACAGTCGGCTAAAAATGATTTTTTGTTTTAAATAAAATTAATGCATGGGGATTATGAGAATATTGAATATGTGGGGAGAAAACACACCTGCTGCATACAAAAGCATATGTGCTTCTAATTCTCGGGGGCAGACATCCAAGCATTTTCAACGCCTTTCAACCATCATGGTTAAAGCGGGGGAGTCGTCACTTGCGCATGCGTCAGATGGTCATAGCGTGTCATTGTTTAAAAACATGTGTCTACCCATGAGCCTTTGCGTGCTGTTATCATCACTTGGGACTCGATTCCCACACGTGCTCAGGTGACAACCCTCTCGCTTTAAAACAAAGGCAAAAAACACTCACAAAATGGTACTTTGGGACAGTTTTTAATACTTTGGGACAGTTGTTGAAACTTCACCAAAAACAGATTACTCCTACGTGTGCAACATATATAAATTTGATTGCTCAAGATTACTTCAAAGTTGTGTTTGTGCTATTTTCTGGAATTTAGCTGTTTTCACCAACTTTTCGACCGGCATTCCACAGCAGCTTGCGCACAGAGCCTATACACATAGAAATAGAACGTTTTGTAACGTAGCTCAGCTCCCGAGAACAGAGAGAGTGAACTATGTTTTTTCCAAGCACTGTATAAGTTCTGCGGAACCTTTATCGTTGGTTTACATGCACTACTACTAGAGATGCGCTTCTAATTGACCAAATACAGAAATATCTTTATAAACATTGTTGGAGACAAGATAAAGACAGAACACTGAAACAGACTAAATTGAAACTTTTTTCGATATGGTTATTCTTACAATGTACAGTACAAATGACTAATTTTCACTGGGTTTTATTTTTTGCTGATTTACCATTTCAGGCATATTCAGTTGGTTTAATTCACGGTTTTATTATTTAGATAATGTGTTCTATGCTAAATTGGCCATATTCACTGGGTTTTAATTTACCGCATTTTCCAGTCAACGAAATAAGCAAAATTAACACCCAGTGAATAATTAAGACTTTTACAGTATTGCAAATAACACTAAATAAATGTTGCTAAAAATAGGACAGCCTGTCAAATAATGATTTTTGATGGTTTTAATTTAATTTTGTAAATTAGAAATAATTCTATTTATATTATTTGTTGAATAAATAAGACCAAAAAAAGTTTTTGCTCCTTGTCTCAAAAATATGTGTTCAACATTTATTTATTTATTTATTTATTTATTTATTTATTTATTTATTTATTTATTTTTGAATATGTTCATGTAAAAGCTACGCAGAGATTTCTATTAGAGATACGCTTTGTATCACGTAATATCAAGACTTTCAACTCATGTAAAGTACAGTTTTAATGATTTACTTCACAGGTGGCAATTGCAGAGACCATCGGAAGAATTATTAGTAATAGGGAGTAAATCACTTTGCATTCACTGTATCGTATATTCATTCTATGGAGATACGCTTTGTATCATGTAATATCAAGACTTTCAACTCATGTAAATTACAGTTTTAATAGTTTACTTCACAGGTGACAATTGCAGAGACCATTGGAAAAATTATTAGCAATAGGGAGTGAATAACTTTGCATTCACTGTACCGTAATATTCATTTCTACTGGAGATACGCTTTGTATCACGTAATATCAAGACTTTCAACTCATGTAAATTACAGTTTTAATAGTTTACTTCACAGGAGGCAATTGCAGAGACCATTGGAAAAATTATTATCAATAGGGAGTGAATCACTTTGCATTCACTGTACCGTAATATTCATTTCTACTGGAGATACGCTTTGTATCACGTAATTTACAGTTTTAATAGTTTACTTCACAGGTGACAATTGCAGAGACCACTGGAAGAATTATTAGCAATAGGGAGTGAATCACTTTGCATTCACTGTACCGTAATATCACTGGAAGAATTATTAGCAATAGGGAGTGAATCACTTTGCATTCACTGTACCGTAATATTTATTTCTATTGGAGATACGCTTTGTATCACATAATATCAAGACATACACATGTACATGTACAATTGAAGTGAATCACAGTTTAAATGGTTTACTTTACAGGTGACAATTGGAAGGTTCATCAACAATAGAAAGTGAATTACTTTACATGTAAAACAGTGATCACAATAGTACCTGGTACTCATTCACAGTTGTATGCATAGTTAGTCAGCACTAGAACACAAAACAGTTTGACCTTTGACACGTAACTGTCACCACTAGTACAGGGAACAGAAAGGCAATACAAACAATGTATAATAGCCCATTTTCCGTTCACTGCGAGAATCACGCGCTATGCGTGAAATCGAACGTAAAAACAGGACAAACAAAGGTCATAGCATCGTAGTGGCGTCAAACATCGCGTGGGATTCGACAAACACGAAAGTATTTTGGGGGACATTTCCATGCTTAATAATGTGCTGTCTACATTTGATGATAGGCAATTTCGATTAAATAAGGGTATTCGGAAGCAATATTCCTCTGTTGAAGATCGGCCGGTCGATGTGAGCTACGAAATAAAGAAATTCGAGTTCAAAATCAAATTGTTCGATTTTTGCGGCAGACGTTCGACGCGCATCTTTCATGCATCTCGCGAGATCTCGCAATTGTACGGAAAATCACCTATTACAATTCAGTCATAACCTGCTTACTTTAAATCGACAATAAGAGGCAGTGGATACTGTAAAACATGAAAAAACTACATGGTATTTTAGCAAATTGACTTAATTAAAAACAATCTCATTGTGACAATAAAATGTCTTTTAAATTAGCTACATTTTGAATTTAAGATTATCAAATTACAAATAGCTAAAATAGCATGCTAATAAACATGTTTTACAGTACTGTAGAATATTTTATTTTAGCTGG